GGGCACAACAGGATGGTTCAGTGGATAAATCCTCATTTTGCATGCACGGGGATCCCATATGGGTGCAAGTTGGCAGTTGTGGGGAGCCAGTGATGGGGAAGGGAGAGCTCTGGGATTGAGGAGGAGGAATTAAAATTTAAAAAAATTAAATTCTCACGTTTCAAAACACTGCGCAAAATATGATTTTACTCTGAAATAAGGAAGTAATGCCATGTTGACAATGTAAACTGACCTAACCATTCTTTAGAAGAAAGTTTTACTGTTATAGCACCTTAGTCCTTAGGATAAGGATTAACAAACACAACATTCCCAGCCAGTCCAAGGCTATGTCTGTTTCTGTACAACCAGTTACCTATCTTTCTATAACCCCAAAACTAAAAACGGCTTGGTTGAAAAGAAGATATCAAAGAGGCTAGCAGTATGGCATAGCAGGTAAAGAAAGCTACCTCCTTGGGCCCAGGTCAACAGATCAATGGCTAAATTCTTACCTTGCAAGCACCAGGATCCCATACGGATGCCAGGTTATGTCCCAGCTGCTAACGTACCTAGGGAAAGTGGCAGATGACCACTCAAGCGCTTGGGCCCCTGCCACCCATGCAAAAGACTAGGGTGGTGTTCCTGCCTCCTGCCTTACGGGTGCCCTAGCCTTGGTTGACCATTTGGGGAGTGAATCAGAGGATGAAAGATCTCTCTCTCTGTTGCTTTGCTTTCGAACATATATTTTAATGTATATGTACATTTTAATTTTTATTGCAATCTATACTTTTTAAATCATGTTACAGTCTTCTAATTAATCATTACCCTAAAGATACTTGTTTCCAGTACTTGGGTATTAATCTGTTGCCTTTTTGCAGCAAAAAACAAGTGGTTCTCATAGTTAATTCTTCTTATTTATTTTTATTGGAAAGGCAGATCAGATCTTCAGAGAGAAGGAGAGACAGAGAAAGATCTTCCATCTACTAGTTCACTCTCCAAGTGGCTGCAAAGCCAGAGCTGAGCCAATCCAAAGCCAGGAGCCAGAGGTTTCTTCTGAGTCTCCTTGTCACTGAGCCATCAGGCTGGGCGCAAGGACTAAGCACTCACCTGCTTCTTTCAGTCATCAACTTTGGGGCTTTTCTCTGGGAGAGCCTTGAGATCACACTTGGCTTTTCAGAAGGCAAGGTATTCTGATTTCAATCCCTGGGATTCCAAGCTGCTGTAAGTGTAGTCCCCAAAACGTTATTTTAGCAGCAACAAGAGGACAGAAATTTAACCCAGTCATGGGGCTTAGAGGGAAGGCCTGTTAGGTGGAGCCGCGTGTTCACATCTTGGTGGTCGCATCAGGACAGACAGATCTGGGGATTCCCTGTGTCCTCTCTCTCCCGTGCCTGCAAGAATGCCAACACCAGGGCCCGGCGTGGTAGCCTAGCAGCTAAAGTCTTCGCCTTGAACGCACCTGAATCCCATATGTGTGCCAGTTCTAATCCCAGCAGCCCTGCTTCCTTTCCAGCTCCCTGCTTGTGGCCTGGGAAAGCAGTTGAGGACAGTTCAAAGCCTTGGGACCCTGCATCCATGTGGGAGATCCAGAAGCTCCTGGCTTCGGATTGGCTTAGTTCCAGCTGTTGTGGCCACTTGGGAAGTGAATCACGGGATGGAAGATCTTCCACTGTCTCTCCTCCTCCTCTCTGTACATCTGCCTTTCCGATAAAAATAAATAAATCTTCAAAAACAAATGCCATCACCAGATACCCTGCCACATGTGATCTTGGACTGTTGAACCTCCAGGCTGTTTCTTTTCTTACAGGTTAAGTAGCATTTCATTACGTGTCTGTGTGTGTTTGTGTACATACAATTCCAAAATGTGGCATAGTCTCTCTTTTACTGGGCTAACCAAGGCATCTGCACTGTGTAGGTTGGTTTTAACCAATCTTTTCAGGTCACCCTGATCAAAAGGGAAAGGATTAGGCTGCTCCAGGTGTGGGTGCAGTCCCCAGCAGAGAATCACCATGCACACAGCAAGCGCCGAGCACCTGTTTCCCCAGAGTGGGGCTGGCTCAAACGCCAGTCTGCCTGTGTGTGATGAGTTAACTTTCTTTTCGTCCTGAATTCAACTCACTCCTGAAAGCAAGCATCTGTGCCCAACCCGAGCTCTCCTCCCTCTAGTTTCTCTGGAAATTACAGAGTTTGTGCTATTGAAGAAAAACATCTTGCTTGCTCTTAGATAAATGAGAAGCAACAATAACATAAAAACAAAGATATGTACCAGGGAAGCCATTGCAAAGTGTGTGAGGACTCAGAGGACAAAATGAATAACTCAAAGGGCAGAAAAGGAAGAAAAAAAAAAAAAAAAAGAGGGAACTCATTCACAATGGGCAGCAATGTCTGGCGCCTGGTTCAGTGCAAAAAGAACCTCGGAAGGCTGGGGCTGGGGCTTCCTCCTCCCATTCGGGTGAGCTCAGAACTCAGGCGCCACGTCTTTGAGTACTGCAGCTTTAACAGACAGGAGCTGATGCTGCTTCTGTCTCAAGGGAAATGTGCTCTTGGAAGGGTACAAATAAGCAATTTATATTTTCAGAAGTACACTTAACCAGAGACCAGAGACCCTATCTCTTGGCCCTTCTCACTCCTCTCATGTTTTGAATTACAAAAGGGACAAGTCATGAAGATCCTTCCTGAGTGCACTGGCAGCTTATTAGTGAAAACTCCAAGTCAGTTTTCCTCTGTTCCTTACGTGTTCAGTTGAGGGACCTTGCTGAATCAGGCTGTCTTTGAGGTGGATCATAAGACCTCAAGAAAGGCTGTACGGCCTAAGTGACCCACATCCTTTAGCAGAATGCCTGGGTTGGGGACCTACTTCTGACCAGCTTTCTGCTAACATGTGCCTTGGGCACCAGCTACCGACATAAGACCATGGAGTTCTGGCTCCTGAGATTTGCTCTGCCCAGCTCTAGTATCGTGGGCATTTGAGGGAGTTAAAAACAAAACAAATCTTGCATGACAGCTCTACCTTAAGTAAGAATTAAGAAAAGCTTCAGTTTTATCTACTGACCAGCTTTTACCAAGGAAACTTACCAGGCAGAGGATTTGTGTGCTAAGCCACAATGCCAGCCTTTGCCCATCTTTTTAAAATGCTAGCACAATGCTTGTTTTGATTCCTAGTACTAGAGAAGCTGTTGGCTTCTGAAAGTGACATCCATTTGCAACATCAAACAAAAATGTTTGCCTTATTAATACAGAGCTGACCACATTAAGAAAAACGAACACTGGGAGACAAAGTACATCAAAAATGTAGTTTCTTGTACAAAAGAAGCCAAGTCACTAACAAGGAGAATAATGTTCTACTGTACTGGCATGCTGAAACAAGATGGTTCCATCAGAGTAGAATCGAGGAAAAGTGCACAGGCTAACTTCCCCGGCGACTGTGGTAAACCCATCTCCATCAACTCTGCCTCACTCTGAACAGTAATGTTTGCACTCACAAAAGTGACAGACACACAAGTACCTACCCCTTCCAACTCCAAGGATGAGTGACCATCACTGAACCGGCAGCCTCTGTCACATTCTTAAGATTGATTTACTTTCATTTCAGATATAGAGACAGATCTTCCATCCGATGGTTCACTCCCCAAGTGGCTGCAACGGCCGAAGCCAAACTGATCTGATGCCAGGAGCCTCTTCTGGGTCTTCCACATGGGTGCAGGGTCCCAAGGCTCTGGGCCATCCTGGACTGCTTTCCTAGGCCACAAGCAGGGAGCTGGATGGGAAGTGGGGCCACTGGGATACAAACTGACACCCATATGGGATTCTGGCACTTTCAAGGTGAGAACTTTAGCCACTAGGCTACTGCGCTGGGTTTATAAGTATAGGACACTGTTCTGTCTCAATATTTACATGTTTCAGATTGGGGGGTTACTACAGGTTGCTGTGAGTGGGCTTCAGTTCCCACTGGAGGGAAGGGTGTGTGGTGGGCAGGACTGGGCTGGGTTGGACTTTCCCAACTAGTCTGCTGGTCAAAAACTCCACCCACAAAGAAAATCACAGGATGTGTGGTCTGACTGTGGAGTACTGCCACCCAGTACCATGGATGGCAGAGCGAACTGGACAACTCTCTGAGCTATACTTTTGACAGTGAGTATGAGAATCTGGGCAAGTAAACTCTAACCTCTGAATGACATCCTGGGATGATACTGAGTGGCTGCCCCCTAACCCCGGGTAGTGATGTGGTTAGGATGCTGGATATGGCCCTCTTCTCTTCCTCCAGATACAGGAAGGAAAAACCAACCAACCTGGAAACAATTGTCTCATCCATTTCCCCCCCACTCCTTGACCCTCCCATTCCCACCATAATCAGTGGTCTATATGGGTGTACAGAAGTGAGAAACATATTTCACTACAGAACAGAGGATAGCACTGGCCCAGGCTGTGTCCCTGCAGTGCTTAGGGGCTGAGCTAAAACAGGCAGACTTAAACTTATTTAACAGATGGGGCAAGGAGCCAAGGAATGCAGTTGGGCCCTACCAATAGAAGATGCTGCCACGGGAACCTCCATGACTTTAGTCCTTTAACTCTAGAAGACATTAAGGCTTCCGCAACTGCTCCGAGGGGCAAATGAACGAATTTGTCTGAAGTCATTAAATCTCTATTTATTATTAAATTTATTTGCTTACTGCATGAATACAAACTGATCTGCTATACTTGTATGTGGATGCACAAGGACAGCTTTCCAGAAAAGCCCCTCGTGGGTGCACCGTACAGGCTACGGACGGCCATGAACATCAGGTTCTGCAGTCTGTGAACCCACTGCTGAGAGCAGAGCTAGAGCATGATGAAATACAACGCAACTGCTCTCAGGCACCACTTGAAACACTCCTGTTCAAAGTCTAAACTTCATACGCTTAAGATCTAGGGTGCGAACACCAGTGCTTTAGTGGTATTGTCCAGTGCCAAAAAACGCAGACTAGTGTGCACAGGCGCTTCTACTTCCACTCTAAAAGTACTCAGACAACGAAAGTGTAAGCACATAAAGGAATATAAAACTATTTATTGACCACTGTTCACCAGTATTTACAATAAAGTAAACAATATACAGTTGGATAACATTCTGATTACTACAAAGTTATTGTTTTTTTTTTCCTGGCATCTGCTGAACCAGTAACCCAAACAGCTCGGACTGAGCCTCCATGTAAGAAATGAGACGTGACAAACACAAACCATGCAGGTCAATGATGTAGATTACAATAGCCTGATCTCCCGCTGTGACAGCAGATCCTAAACTGGCAAGGTCTCTAAGCCAAGTTTTAGAAATCCCATGAATCATGACATTTTAGTCAATAATAGCACATGGATTTTGACCTTCGCAGAGTAATGGCTCACAAGAAGAAATTGTCCAATATTTGTTTATCTTAGTTTTTTACAGGGCAGCAGGGGGTCTGCCTTTCTCACCTGAATGGGGAGACTAATCAGTAACAATAAAGATTGTATGAGCCACGGCATTTACGACTATCGATCCAGCTCTCTGATATGGCTTCTCCTCAACTATCTAACCTGTCCAAATGACTTACAACATTATTCCAACAGCTATGGCTTCATGACAATTTTTTCCAGTTTAACTTGAAGTGATTTATGTCTCAGGTTGCTCACAATGACATTTTAGCAACAGAGTCTCATGGTCTTCCTTTTGATGAAATTTTAAAAGAAAGAAAAAAACAGTTATACAAATATCTTATGAACACACACAATCACCCAAAACAGTTGTCGGGCACGAGTTGAGAAATCAGGTTCTGACACTGAGAACAATGTTTAAAAAAACTTCTCCAAGGCAGCAACTGTTTGCTGATGAAGGAAGCAACTACAGAAAGCTTTTTCAAAACTTGTTAGAAGTAACCAGTGCTACTGATGCAAAAAAATAGAAAATTCACAACTCCCCCAATACTACTTTCAAACCAACATATCAAACTTGATTTTCATTAGAATGTAGTTATTTCTTCACGCTAGTAAATCAAAAAACCAAGATCCAGATTTTATATATATATATAAATATATATAAAAAAACAATGCAAACAATTACTGAGCTTCATCTTCCGGACAAGAATGCCAAGTTAGTCTCTCTTCATAAAAAGCAATTACAATCTGAGGACATTTCATGTTTGCTTCTTTTGCCAGCACCAAGTCAGCTTCATCTGAATCTTTCCTGTAGTAAGGGGAAAAACCTCCAGTTAACCTTCACATTGCTTATAACCAACACTGGCTCACCCAATCAATAATTCAATCTACAGGCATTAAACGGGGCCAGCACCACAGAGGCCAAGCCTGGCTGGCGTGACAGCCGTATGTGCGTCAGCTCTAGTCCTGGTTGCTCCACTTCTGGTCCAGCTCCTGGGCTGAAAAAGCAGCGGAGGACAGCTCAGGTCCTTGGCCCTGCACACACACACACAGGAGACCGGAACTTGCTATGGCTTCCCGTCAGCTTGCTCCACCCATTTTGGCCATTTGGGAAACGAATCAGTACATAGAAGATCTGTCTCTCCTTTCTGCAACTTCTTAAAAGAATTTTTTAAAAGGTGTTTGTGTTTTGGGAATATGCTTTAATAAAAATGAATCAGAAGATAAATTTAGGAGCAGGTGTTTGGTCCAATGAAAAGACAGCTTGAAATGTTCCCATCTGGTCTCTGGATGCCAAGTCCCAGCTCACTTCCTAATGACAGCTTCCAGCTAATGCACTCCCTGCCCAGCCCCAGCTGCTGTGGGCATCTCACCAGCTAACGGGTGCTATCTTCCTTTCAAAAAAAGAACACCAGCACACTTACCACTTCATGAGAAACATCAACTCTCCACTGCTGTCTGTGGCACCAATTATTCGTTCGGGATCGAGACCCCTGGCAAAGCCCCTCGGTTTGTCAGCCTGTTTAGAAGAGGTTAAGTGATTACTTCCATAAACATTTGCTCAGCACAAACTAAGAGCATCAATTCTAACTTGCCTTCCTGACAGGAAACTTACATAAACAACTTTCAGGACGGGCATTTTGGGGAACACATTGCCTCTAACAGTGCCTGGGTTTGAGCGCTGGGTCTTGCTTCCTGCAAGTGAGCACCCTGGGAGGCAGCATAGCAGGTGCTGGCTCACACTCTTGGGTCTCTATAACCACGCAGGTGATCCTGACTGGGCTCCAGCTGTGACTAGTGCAGGCGTGTGAGGAGTGAGCCAGGGCTCGACTGTCCCTGGGGTACAATGGCTACTGCTGCCCACGCAGCTAATGTGCCTATAAAGTCCAAACACTCAGATGCCTGCCACCTGCATGCAAGATCTGGATGAAGTTCTTTTACAAATTCTTTTACTTTTGATAATAATTAGGAATTAATGTAGGTTAAGATTTCAAATCATTTCTAGAAGCCCATTAAAAAGAAAACACCAGTTAATCAGTATTATATCCAAGCTTTATGCATCCTTTGAAATACCATTTGAATCCGTTTTTTCTTATAAAAGTTATTTTTCATATAAATTATGTGTAAAACATCACAGATATTTCAACAAATAAATACTTTACAATTTGCTTTAATTTGTGATACAATCCCAGAGTTGTACGAGCTTTTTGGGGTCCCCACTGCCCAGAAACGTGACGAGCGATGGTACCAACAATCTTCCGTTCCTACCGACCTCGGCAGTCGCAGGCCCCAGGGTTAGCCTGCTTCCATTAAAATGTTGCTGTGTCGGACCTTGGGCAATCTTTAAAAACTAACCTTTTGTGATTAGGTATCAAACAGATATAACCTGTGCTCCTCTGGAGCATGTGATTTATTCTGAGAATCAAACTTGCAACCAACTTCCTATTTCTAAACTCTAAAACAGGGTTAATATCTAAAATCTTACTAGGACCACCCTGATGATTTATCCGTGACGTTCTTAACATCTAATGAGTGTTCTAATTTCAAGCCTAAGTCTCTGTGGAGATATATATAACACATGCTTAGCGCCTGAGCCGAGCAACCACTGCCCAGGCCGCTCCCGGTGTCACACTAGGCCACCCGGCAGGGTAAGGGCGATCCTGGCTTTAGAGTCAAGGGTACAAGTAGTTCGTTTCCTAGCATGACTGAATTCAGACTTAAGTGAAGGGGACACAATCAAAGTGCATGCATGGTGAATAAACCAAGTGTCTAAATCCATACCAATAAAACATAGACATAATTTTTATGAACAGACTGTATATTTAAAAATAAAAGGACTGCCTTGTAGCACAAAGACAAGTATGTTGCGGTGCTCAACGTCGCTACAACCACAGTGCTATTAGACTGCTATCACTGGCAGGAGATGAGCAGTGAACCGACCTCAGTCCTCCTGCATCTAACGGCCTTACTCTCACAGACTAAACAATCCCTAGGGAGCATTTACAAACATTTTCTTAATGGCACTTCAAAAATATTTGGCTTTAAAAATTATCTTTAAGGGGCCCGGCAACCCCACTTCCCATCCAGCTCCCTGCTTGTGGCCTGGGAAAGCAGTCGAGGACAGCCCAAAGCCTTGGGACTCTGTAGTCATGTGGGAGACACGGAAGAGGTTCCTGGCTTTGGATCGGCTAAGCTTGTGGCCACTTGGGGAGTGAATCAGTGGATGTAAGATCTTTCTGTCACCTTTGTATATCTGACTTTTCAGTAAAAATAAATCTTAAAAAAATTATCCTTAGGAATCTGGCAGGTTGGGCCCAGTGCGGTGGCCTAGCGACTAAAGCCCTTGCTTAGAAAGCGCCAGGATCCCATATGGGTGCTGATTCTAATCCTGGCAGCTCCACTTTCCATCCAGTTCCCTGCTTGTGGCCTGGGAAAGCAGTCAAGGATGGCCCCGCAGCCTTGGGTTCCTGCTCCAGTGTGGGAGACCTGGGAGAAGTTCCTGGCTCCTGGCTTTGAATGGGCACAGCACCGGCTGCTGTAGTCACTTGGGGAGTGAACCATTGGATGGAAGATCTTCTCTGTCTCTCCTTTCTGTATACCTCTGACTTTGCAATAAAAATAAATCTTTATTAATAAAAAATCTGGTAGGCCATGTTTCATACTTACAGCATCTCTTTTCTTCTTTGATTTACTGTCATCAGATTCACTGTCAGATAAAGATTTTCTTTTTGCACCATCTTTTTCTTTACCAGCCTTTTGAGAATTAAGAAATGCTTCAATTAACTCTGGACAATCTAGATTTTCTTCAGGTTCCCAAGTGTTGTCAGCACTGTGTTAAAAAAAAAAAAAAAGTTGACTCAGTTAAACATCGCTCGTCACCATCATCCGGATCCATTTAATAGATGAAAAGCACAGTCGTCCGTGCTGCCACCGCTTCCTGTCGCTGTACCTCCAGCCTGCTCAGAGGGCCTGGAAGGGGCGTCCAGAGCCCTAAGGGAACCGCCTACTTACCTCTGCTAAAAGAACAGGATTCCAACACAGCCAGGGACGCTAACAACACACAAGGTTTTCAAAAGTTCATGGGAAATGCATGAGAAAACTTTTTTTGTGTTTTTTTCTCTTTTAGCTGACCTCTCCTCTCAATTTGAGTCACCCATGTTGAGTGGCACGAACCTGGAGGCTTGAGCCATTATTGTTGGTTCCCAGGTTCTGCATCAGTAGGAGCAGGGAGCGAATCCGGGTAAAGGGGAAGTCTGCCCACCGACCACCGGCTTAAAGCATGCTCTTACTAACAGCCGTATTTGTCTTCTCGAATTTCTCTAAGTTCCACAGATAAGTCGCTTCAAAATTTTTCTCTGACAACTACTAGCAGACAAGTTACCCATGCCCACAGTCCTGGTGCCTGGGTAAATTTCAGCTTCCTACCAATGTGGCCCCCAGGAAGCAGCAGTGGTGGCTAAGCTTCCTGCTGCCTATCCAAGAACCAGAATGAATTCCCATATTATGCCTGGGGTTAGGATTTTTAAGACAAAAGTATGTCAAAAGTTCACAAGAGGGACCTGGGCCGGTAGCCTAGTGGCTAAAGTCCTTGCCTTGCATGCTCAGGGATCCCACATGGCTGCTGGCAACCCCGCAGCCTTGGGATCCTGTACCCGCTGGGAGACCCAGAGGAGGCTCCTGGCTTCAGATTGGCGCAGCTCAGGCCGTTGCAGCCACTTGGGGGAGTGAATCAGTGGATGGAAGATCTTCTTCTCTGTATATCTGACTTTCCAATAAAAATAAATCTTCAAAAAAAAAAAAAAAACAGAAAACCAAAATTCATGGGAGGGCCCGACATGGTAGCTTAGTGACTCAAGTATGCTGGGATGCCATATGGGTGGTGGTTTGTATACCAGCTGCTCCACTTCCATTCTAGCTCCCTGCGTGTCGCCTGGGAAAGCAGTGGAGGACGGCCCAAGGCCTGCATCCTCGTGCTACACGGATTGGGGGACCCTGGCACCCAGGGCTTTGTGGCTCCCACACTGGGTGTAATTCTGGCCTTTCCTCCAGCAGTGTGCAGTCCTGAGAAACTACTGCTTCAGGCCAGCGTCCCTCAGCACCTCCAAGGGCCTTTCCATAATGGCGGGCAGGTGTGCCAACGAGGAAGCTATGGATTGGAAGATGTCGGTGTTAACAAGACTTAGAATCCTAGAGAACACATTCCCTAACATAGCAGGATGGGCACAAGCAGTCAGGTTACCTGTCAGGGGGCTGCTAGAGTGGGCAAATAAAACAGGAGACCCAATTCCAGGTTTTTTTTTAAATGTGCATGCCTGGCTTTGGATCGGCTCAGCTCTGGTAGCTGTATCTGTGAATTGGCAGATGGAAGATCTTTCTCTATCTCCTCTCTATAAATCTGCCTTTCCAATAAAAATAAACAAATCTTAAAAAAAAATTCATGGATAAACACAACTTGGAAGGCTAATTTTGATGAAAATAAAAGTTGAAACATATGCATAATATGCATTTTCCACTAATTTTTTGAGCATCTCTACTACGTTTTAAAATTGAGGCAATTTGTTTGGTGTTCAAAGCAGGAAATACTATCAAGAAATGACAAAAACCCCAGCCTTTCCTCTGGTCAGTACAAGACGCAGGCCCCGTACTTTCTCAAAGAGCCAGTGGGAAATTTACACAGAACTGAACTTCACTGTCACTGGAATAAAGTCATGTTCATTGAACACATTAACTTCTGCTGCGTCTGACCAGCTTGAGATGTTATACAGACTGACCAGCAGTGCTCAAAGCCTGAAATGGTCCTGTACTTCAGGGTTCACAGGTTTCCACCCCCTAATTAAAAAAAAAAAGCTGAGATAACCATTTCTACATGATTTCCATAATTGCTTTAGGGGAAGCCCTCCCACCCTCCACTACTAACGGGCTTGCTTGCTTTCTGCGTTCAGGGGCACAAAGGCCCATAGGAGCTGCAGGGAATGAAATGACAGGAAATGGGTCAGGCATGCGGCTAAATCCTCGCCTTGCACCTGCCAGAATCTCCTACGGATGCTGGTTCTTGTTCTGGCTGTTCTACTGCCCATCCAGCTCCCTGCTTATCACCTGGAAGAGCAGTAGAGGACAGCCCACAGCCTTGGGAACCTGTACCCAAGTGGGACACCAGGAAGAAGCTCCTGGCTTCAGATTAGCTTAGCTCTGGCCACTGCAGCCACTTGGGAAATGAATCAGTGGATGGAAGATCTTTTTCTCTTCCGTGAACCTGCTTTTCCAGTAAAAATAGATTAAAAACAAACAGTGACGGGAAAGGGGTTACTGATCACTGACATAGTAACTTTGCTCGGCTGATACTCTGAAGCTCCAAACCCGCACACGGCAGGACTAACTTGCGCGGTGTTCTCTTCATCGTAACGTTCTCTATTACCTAATGCCACGCTGCACATGGACGTTATCATTCATACTATGACCTTAGCTTTGGGAAAGCAGGGAAGAATCCATTTCCTAGTGTTTGGATGGATAAAATGGCTTTATTAATGTCTAATCAGATTCCAAGAACAGTCTATCCTGTGAAAGTAATCAACTCCAATGAACTGGCTCAATCTAATTTTAAAACACTTTGCGGACTTACTGTTCAGCTCCTCTACCTGCAGAACTTTTCAGTAAAAAATGTGAATATATGATACTTCCTTAAGCTCACCAAGCATACTGAACAGCATATAAAAGAGAAGCCTCAATTTTCCACTATTCCCGGATAGCTATGGAGAGGCATAACAGTGCGGTAAGCAACAGAGGCTAAAACATCTGCCTGCCATGCCCCTGGCACCAGGCTTGGCATGCTGCTGACCGCCACCCACCTGCGGAGCTCTGGCTTCTCACATCTGTGGTGTAAAGCCGAGAATTCACATGCACTTGCAGACACATGCGTGAACAGCACAATCTCGGCATGTTTTAATTAGCAACACAATGATTATCAAAGCAATTCCTAACAAGGAACCTAGGCTGTAGCACTTCAGAGATTCTGAATAGCAATCTGTATTGTACAGCATCCAAAAATCTTTAGGTCCCTTTGTCTGAAAGGCACAGTTAGTATACAGTATTTAACTCCAATAAAGTGAATCACACAGTAAACTATACTGACTTTATAAATTTGACTCTCCAGGGTAATAAACTAGAGTCTATTCAATCTGCCTGTTTCCAACTGCAGACTAAGGACTGAGCTCTTTTTAAGCAGACCTCGAATAAGGGACCTGAAATTCAGGTGTTTTTATAGATCCCTAAGGGGAACAGGTGATAGACCCAGCTGAAAACAAAACGCAAAGCTGCCGAGTGCAGTTCACAGCACAAGGAAGCACTGAGGATTCTTACTCTGTGAATCCCTTCCACTTCAGGAAGTATTCCACCTTCCCGTTGACCACACGGCGGTCCAACACCTTCTCCACCACAAACTCTTCAGGCTCTGCTTCTTCGACCTTTTTACTCTTTCCATTCTGCTTCTTTCCCATTTTTTGCTAAAATAAAGCAAAAGTTAAGATTCTATTTAAGTACACTTCAAAGGCTAAATTGCTTATACCGACTTACTGTCCTCCAAATGACACAATCAAAAGCATTATTTGGGAAATACTGCCACCCTTTCCCAGTCATAGCACTAAACAGCCTACTAGAGCCAGTCTCAGTAGAACTTCTATACCCGTTTTAATCACAAAACATCAACAAAACAAAAGCAACATAGATGACATACACAAGAAACTAAGTAATAAAGCTGTAAAGCGAGCTTAATTAAGGCAAGCTATGCTAAGATTTAAACACCAACACTGAAAGCTTCAATGACACAGAGAGGGAGCTGCAGAATGACAGTCCAGCCTGCAACTGTACTATCAACTGCAGGGCCGACTAGAGACCATGGACAGGATTTTCCCATGACTATTACATGTAGGTATCTGCCTTGAACATTTAGAACTCGGCCATATCAAGAGGCCAAAACACCAAATCATTTTCATCTTCTAACATGCAAAACCTCTTGTAGTTTCTCAAGGCTAAACTCCATAAACCAAATTCACTTTAAAGTGGGAGGTTAAAAACAAAGGTGGGTGGGGAACAAACAACCTACAATACTTAAAACTGAAATAGCTAATTCATCAGTAAGCTGCTGAGGGGGGCCGCCCAAGCTAAGCCACCGGTGAGACCGTCCACATCCTGCACCGTGCTCACTCAGCTTCTGGGCCAGCTTCCTGCTAACACTCCTGGGGAGGCAGCAGATGCTGGTCCAACTATTCAGGTGTGCCGAGGTCTGTGTCCTGGTCCTGGCCTGACTCAGCCCTAGCTGCTGCAAGCATCTGGGAAGAGAACCCCGTGGACTGAAGAGATAGTTCAAATTAAGAGACCACAGATGTGGCTCAACTAATCAAGTCACGGCTGGTTCAAGTAGTGACTGCTCCACTCTACAATCTAGCTCCTAGAAGACGGCCCCTGCCACCTGGGGGCGGGGGGCTAGAGACCCAGATGAAGTTTGTGGCTCTTGACCTTGGTCTGGCTCAGCCCCAACTGTCATAGCCATCTGGTGGCGTGAAGCAGCAGATGGAAGATCCCCACAAACTTTTAAGTACCCAATACATAGAAGTTACAAAAACTGGGGCAGGAAGCACTCTGGGTATGAAGCTGTAGCCTGTGACGCAGCTACCCCTTCGGGTCACTGGGTGGTATCCTGGCTGCTCCACTTCCAAGCCAGCTCCACGATAATGGCCTGGGAAAAGCCAGGGACGATGGCTGGAATGCTTGGGCCACTGTAACTCAGGTGGGAGACCTGGATTGGGGCTCCTGACTTCAGTCTGACCCCCCACCCCACGGCCGCCCTAGCTGCTGCAGCAATCTAGGAAGCTAACCAGACAGCAGATCTAACTCTGCCCCTCTGACTTGGCTGGACTGCTTTTCCAGACGGGCCTTACTGCTTTCATTATCCTGCCTAGTCAAAGAGCTTTGGGAATGCATGACATTAAGGAACTACGAATGACAACAGGAGTAAAGAGAAACTGAAGTAGACACTCGTGTATTAGATGCTAATCCTTCAGGTCCGTGACGTGAACTGATCAACAGGACAATGTCAGAAACAGGAAATGACAATGGAACCCACCATGACCACACCCCCTTCCCCTCAGAACATACCAGATTTACCAGCCTGGCTGCCTATGGCTTATGAATCCAAGTGCTCCTTTTTGTTTTAAAAGTACAAACCTGGCTCAAAGCACCAGTTTCCCTGCCTCCCCCCCCCCAAGCATGAGGCATATTTTGAAGCCATAAATAATGTTTAATTATTTAAAGGAAACTCACTCGGCTTCCTACTTAAATGTTATCATGTGTTATGTCAGGAAACTAATAAAATTATTTCCAAATCTGGTAACTTTGAAAGCTTCACGGATAGCTCATCTTTCCCACCCAACAAGCAAAGAACAGAGGCAGAGCAGATCAGCCCTTCACGATGTGTTCCCTGGTTACGGAGCTGGAGGGGCAGCCTGATGGAGGGGGCAGAGGATGCTGTCTACCCTGTGTGGGAGCCATCTGCAGCACTCTGCAGTCTGTTCCCCAAGATACTTAACACACAGTCAGATGATGGCACAAACTGTAAACCAACTTGGCCTGCTAAGGTGCGCAACTCAGGGGATCAAAACCAAACATTTGGCTTTACTTAAGTGTTCCAACGCATCCTCACAGGCTTCTGAGCACCAGGCTAACTTCAGGAGCTCCTTTCTGGGTACCGTTCCTCAGGCTGGGCATTCCCAAGGCAAATCTAGACTTCAACAGGCAGAAGGAATACGCCAACCAGCAATGGCTTTCTTGTTCTGTCCATACACAGCAGCCTTCTATGTTACATACAATCTTCAATTCTCCTTACAAGATAAAAACACTCAACAAAATTCTTGTTGTGCTCCCCTAAGATTGCGTGACTTCGGGCCCTACTAAGCCAAGTCAGTAAACACCTTGATTTACTAATTCCGCTTTTCTCCCTGTAAGAATATTGGGACAGTTAGGAAATAAGGGCGTAAATTCTCCACAAAAATATAAAGTTATAATTTGGGGAGGGAGGAAAAAAAAAAAACCCACGAGTTAGATCCTTATATATTTCAGGTTTTCATTAACTTACCAATGTAGTTTTATTGGAGGCCATTTTTTTTGTAATTGCAGGCTTGAAGAGCTAGTACTAGAAAAATGCATGACAGTTAAAGTTTGCAAAACAAAAGCCACTCATATGCAAGGTTTGTTTAATTTCAACCCCCCCACTAGTGACTACAACCCCAAGAGCCGAGGCTGGGCAGCCCGCTGGGCCTCCACCATTAGTGACGCATGCCGGAGCCCATGGTGCTCTAACCAGCAGGGACCACAGAGGCCTCGCTGCAAGACGCTGGCACCTGCGGCAGCTTCAAGGGGCGCAACATAGCGGAAAACCCTCTTCCCAGCGAGAGTGTTTATTAATCCAATACGTGGCTTCTCTTTCTAAAACTCCCACCAAACCGAAACCACCGCCGGTTCGCCCCTCTCCACACCTCACCAGACCTGTCTCGCACCTAACCGCACTGGCGGTATTCTTAGGAACCCCGCACCCCCCCGCCCGCCTTTATCTCCTCAGCAAAGCCCGGGGATGCCTCGGCCCCAGGCCGCGGTGCTGGGAGTTAGAACCCACCCGACCGTCTACACGGCCGCCCTCGCCTCCGTGTGGGGAGGGAGGGCGCGCGCGGCCGCCCCCACTCGGGAATGCAGGCCTCGTGGTCAGCGCCTCCGCGGGGACAAACAAAGGCCGCGCGGCGCCGGGGGTGGGAGCCTCGGGGGTTCAAGGGCACTGCGCCACAGGCCCCGCGCCGAGCCCGCGGGCGGCGGCCACGTAACGGAGCGCTCGCCGCAGCCTGCAGGCCGCGCGGATGCGGGGGAATGCACCGCCCTCCCGGGAGGCCCAGCTCCCCGGGCCCGCCGCGTGGGGAGGGGGAAGGGACAAGCATGCTTTGTCTCGAACCCGGGCGGCCGTCGCCGCCCCCCACCTACCCCTCCCCGCCGCTTCTCCCACCGGACCGGGCGGTCTCCCCCCACTCTGCACTGGAAGCCGCAAGCGCAAGGCCCAGCAGGGCCCGCGGGGCCTCAGCTCGCCCTCCTCCTCCCCGCACCCCAACCCCGTAACTGCTCCAAGGGGGGGGGGTGGTGCTGCGGCCTCGGGGCCCGGCACAAGGGGACCGGGACACGAAGTGGAGGGGGACGGGGGTGCGTCGCCGGGGGTGCAGAGGGGGAAGCGGAGAGCCCTAAGCACCGACAAGAGGAAGAAAAGCCACCGACTTCACCGCTCCGAGCCGCTCCGGGTCGCGTGGGGCTGCAGCGTCCTCCCGGCCCTGCGCGCGCCTTCCAGCTCCAGCCACATCCGAGGGGGAGGGCGAGAGGGAGGAGGCCGGGGACGCCGCCCACGCCGGGGAGCCGCGCGGGGCGGAGCTGCGGCCGGGCGCGCGCCGGCCCGGGGAGGACACGGGGCCCGCGGGCCTTACCGTGCGTGGCGCCGCGCCTCTGGGTCCCCGGGGGCCGGAGCGGGCAGGGAAGGCAGGCGGCGAGCACGCTCACCCGGCTCTTCCTGGGCGGAAGCGTGGTTTTTTTTTTTTTTTTTTTTTTTTTTGCTCGGCGGCCGCGGCGCCAAAAAGCCGGCTCCGCCCACTTCCGCGCCCCTAGGGAGGGGTGGGCGCCTCGCGGGGCGCTGGGAAATGGTGGGGAAGGGGCTCTGCTCCAAGACCCCCCCCCCCCCGGCGCGCGCACCTAAAAAATGTCGGCCGGGAGTGGACGCCAAGGGCGCCACAGGGCTGACGCGTGGGGTAATAAATCACGGCAGGTGTTAGCGGAGGAAGGATGGGCAGGGGGGCCACCTGAGGGGGAGGCGGGCGACCCTGTCTGCTGAGGCGGGAGCAAGGGGGCGCCTCCCCGGCCCGCCTGAGGGGCTGGACCTCCCGGCTGCGCAGGAAGCTCCGCCCGCCGTCGGCGTTCATTTCAAACTGCGCGACCGTTTTTTCACCTGCCTTGCGCTTCCCAAGCCCAGGGCGGGCGCCGCTCCCGAGAGGGCGTCCTACGCAGGCCCGCCACGCCTCTGTGCGATTCGCGAAACCCGTTTACGCAACTGACGTCCAGCCCGCTCGCTGGCGGCGAGGGCGGGGAGGAGTACGTAGTCAGCGTAGGGAGGCCGTAGAGCCTTCCCGCCATTGGCGCCTGTCAGGACGTTTACGTAGCGGGCCTGACGTAGAGGAAGACGCGCTGGTCGAGGGGGAAGGTTCTAGAAAAGCGGCGGCTCCAGCAGCAGCGGCGGCGGCAGCAGCGGCAGTAGCAGCGGCGCCGGGCCCCGGGGTGGAGGTGCTGCCGGCGGGGTGTGTGTGTGTGTGTGTGTGTTGTGCTCGCGCGTGTGTGTTTCTCGAGCAGCGGCGGCTCTCCGTACGGCGCCAGGACGAGTCCGGCTCGTGTTCGTCCGCGGAAATCTCTCTCGTCTCGCTCGGCTGCGGGCAATCGGGCTGAAGCGACTGAGTCCGCGATGGAGGTAACGGGTTTGAAAAATCAATGAGTTCTTGGCAAGGGCATAGCCAGGAGGTTTTGGGGGGCAGCCTTTTCCTGGAGGTCGGCCCGCCTGGGAGCGGCGCGAGAGACGGGGGGGGGGGCGCTGCCGCGGTCACGGTGGGGGGCGGCAGGGGGTGCGGGAAAGCGGGGCGAACCGGGGCCCCGAGCGCCCCAACGTCTCCTGCGCCTTCGGCCTCCCGGCGCCATTTCCCTTGGCCGAGGGTGTGTGTGTGTGTGTGTGTGCGTGCGTGTGTGTGCGCGTGTGGAGGGGGGGAGGGGAGGCCGGCGGGGCGGACGGCGGGGGGCTCGGGGGGCTCCGACGGCGGGGGAGCGGGGCGCCCACCTCGGGGGCGCGCGCGGAGGGCGGCTGGGGGGGCTGCTTCGGCGAGGGGCCCCCTCCCCCTTCCCTCTCCCGGGAGCCGGATTTGGCGGCCGCCATTTTCGTGGTTCTTCCTTCCTCGCTGCGCTTGTTTGCTCCTTGGAACGCTCCCGCTCGGTCGCCTCGGCGCGGTTCCCTTAGGGCGGCCGGGTCTTCCCCAGCCTGGGGTCGGCCCCGGGCGCCCCTGCACGGCCGGGGTGTTTGCTGCTGCGAACTTGGCCCTTGCAGGCCCTGCGCACTTGGTCGCAGCCTCCTTTGCCTTCCCCTTTGCTGAAATGGCGCCATGGCGTCCAGAAGTCGCGCAGCCCCGGGGAGCGGGGGTGTCTCGGCAGGGCGGGCGGGCAGCGATCCGGGGAGGGCCAGGCCGTGTGTGTCCCCAGCCCGCTCCCGAGGAAGCTCCGGCGCTGTCCACCCCGTAGGTCTGGAGGGACGGCTTTGTCGGGGTCCACGGGCCTAGAGGAGGCGGTTAGTTGCATTGCAGAGAAATGGATAAGAAAAATCGGAGCCGTGTCCGAGCGTGGTGGCGGAGGGGCAGTGGGGCGTGTAAGGCAGGCTTGTTAGGCCAGACTCGGTCCTGTACCCCTACGGAATGCTTCTCCCTGGGAAGTGTCCCCTCTCCCAGGGGAGGCGCCGGTTCGTTGTTTGATGATGTGAGGGATGTGGGCTGAAGTTACAGGAGTGAGGTGGGCAGGACTTGATTTGTCGCTGTGCTTTGGTCCCGCGCGTGGCGGACCTGGGCTGAGGGGTGTTTGAACTTTGTCGCTTGCTTTTCGCATTTTTGCTTGCGATGCTGGTTGATGATTACGTTGCTAAGGTCTCGGGCGGAGGGGTTCTGCCTTTTTATTTTTTTAATTTGGCCCTAAGCACGTTTGTGCAATAACTTTTATTTATAATCGGTAGTGGACATAAGGTAAGTTTGGGGGAAAAACCAGGTAAGTAATGAATTTTTACTTTTTGATGGTGATTGGTAAGAATTATTGTAGGTAAACATGTACAAAAACCTTTTTGCTGGGAAATAAAATTAGCTGGCAAAGGTAAATCTCTTGCCAGGTAGACTTAATCTGAATGTCTTACAGGTGTAGTTTGGTACTTAGTTACCTGAAAAAATGGGTTTAATCTACTCTTTGACAATTGCTCAAAATAAAGGACCTTTTAGATCAGCATATTTGCTGGTTGCTGATTGGACTTAGCACAGATTTTTTTTCTTGTGAAATTTGTGATGTTTCTGTTTTCCTTAATTAGGTTGACCAAGTTCAATACCCTTGAGTTTCTCCATCTTTGGATTAAGGAAATTAAGTAGTCTTGTTAGAGTATAACTTTTTCAAGTGTGAAACGAGCAGATGATTGCATTTTACTGTATGGATGGTGGTTAGTTGTCATGGCTGCGTAGATACCAAGTAATGTCACCAGCAAAATTTTTAACTTTGGCTGCTGCAGGACATAAGAATTTGCTTGGGCTAACAGCAGCAGGTATTTTCTAAGAGTTAATTTTTATGCATATTTTGGGTGTATGCTTTCTTTTTTTCAGGCTGTGAGTTACACTGGCTGAAAACTTGAGCCATGTTTTAGTTTTTTTGGTTGAAATGCTTAGAGTCAACGTGGGGGGGTTGAGAGATCTTGCATCTAAATGGTAAATACTGGGTCATAAAAACCAGTTTTATATTTTAAAGATATAAACAGTAAGTTAAGTAATGACTAAGTCTTATGATTTGATGTTGAGTGTGTTTACCTTGAGCATTAATGACTGAAACGTTAGCTGAACAGCTGTGAGGCAGCTGCGGGTTTTTTGTTTCTGTTTTTTGGTATAACACAACTGATGCAGTTTGACATATGGTTTAAATTTGATGTAAGTTTTTTTTCTCGCCCCCCAGAAAACTTTAGAAACTGTTCCTTTGGAGAGGAAAAAGGTACTCTGCCAGCAGGTCACCTCATATTTAAGAATTTAATTTCCTGCATACAAAGACAGAAATGTAAATAAAAATTGAAATGCTGTTTTCTGTTACAGAGAGAAAAGGAACAGTTCCGTAAACTCTTTATTGGGGGCTTAAGCTTTGAAACTACTGAGGAAAGTTTGAGGAACTACTACGAGCAATGGGGGAAACTTACCGATTGTGTGGTACGTGCACTGGGGCTGACATTGGGTGGTAGGCTCTTCAAGTGCGGAGTGGTATTATGAAGCTTGAAAAGTGCTTTGTGCTGTTTAATAACGGATGATGAGATTAAATGGAAAGAAACATTTCCCCCTTTGGTTTTCAAGGTCATGAGGGATCCTGCAAGCAAAAGGTCCAGGGGATTCGGCTTTGTAACTTTCTCGTCTATGGCTGAGGTTGATGCTGCCATGGCTGCAAGGCCTCACTCCATCGACGGGAGAGTGGTCGAGCCGAAGCGTGCTGTAGCCAGAGAGGTAAGCAAATCCCGAGTGGTAAGACTGTCCTGCAGCTTAGACCAGGATTTCTTATCAAAGGGTTGCCCTTCAGCACAGGAGCTGTCTGTGTTGGGGGTTTTCGTTGGGAACCAGAATTCCCAGGTAAGTGGCAAGCAACCAGCTGGTTGAACCATCACTGAAAGCCTGCTGTAGGAAGCTAGAATTAGAGCCCTTAGCCTTCTGTGTGGGACCTGAGACCACTACCGTGCTAAGATGGGGTTGATCTTTGAATAGATGGAGGCTAGCTTTACTTGGTACTTGTGTTGGGATGAAAATAAGCCAAGTGTAGTTTGAAGACTGCTTTAGTCGGGTAATGCGCTTTCTTTGTCGTAGAGACATTTCCTCTCCCGTTGCAGGAATCTGGAAAACCTGGGGCTCATGTTACAGTGAAGAAGCTGTTTGTTGGTGGAATTAAGGAAGACACTGAGGAACATCACCTTAGAGATTACTTTGAAGAATATGGGAAAATTGATACTATTGAAATCATCACTGATAGGCAGTCTGGAAAGAAAAGGGGCTTTGGCTTTGTTACCTTTGATGACCACGACCCGGTGGATAAGATTGTGTGTGAGTGTCTAAGCACTAGGAGTGTGATTTTGGCTTATACATTTGGGACATGCAAACATCTAAACAAGCATTTTGTTTAGAGGTAAATTTCTGAGTTAACATTAAAGGGTGTTAATTTAATATACTGGACTTTTAATTACAGTGCAAAAATACCACACCATCAATGGTCATAATGCGGAAGTAAGAAAGGCTTTGTCTAGACAAGAAATGCAAGAAGTCCAAAGTTCTAGGAGTGGAAGAGGAGGTAATTATAACTAGTTTTTTTCATTCCTTTTTATTTAAGAAATACTTTTTTAATAACCAGGTCATGTATTGTAGGTAACTTTGGTTTTGGAGATTCACGTGGTGGTGGTGGGAATTTTGGACCAGGACCAGGCAGTAATTTTAGAGGATCTGGTAAGTGTTGGACAAGTGAAATACCCCTGTAATAATACTGTGAATGGATTTGCTCAGAAGGACAGCATAGAACCAGAAGTATTGTTCCTGAGGCTTGTTTTTTGGTTTTTAATTGATGGTAGCCAGTGAGTTGCTCTTATTTGTTGAGCAAGCAGCATTAGTGATTAACAATCTGGGAACTGTGATCTTGTTAACCATACCTCCTTAGAAAGAACAAAGTATCATTGGACTAGCTTGAAAATACTACGTTGAAGCTTGCTGATTGCAGGCCCAAAGTTTAACCAATTATCTCAATAAGTTATATTCCTAGTGGTTCAAATTCTGAGGCACTAGTGAAGAATATGGGGGAGATGAGTGATAAAATTCTATAAGAGGTATGTAATATGCATAATCTCTGTCCCCTGACAGATGGATATGGAAGTGGACGTGGATTTGGAGATGGCTATAATGGGTATGGAGGAGGACCTGGAGGTTAGTTTCTTCTGCATTTTTTAAATACCAAGTTCTAATGATGATGTAGGTGTTCAGTTCAGTGTATATATTGCAGTTTTTGTTTAGTAGTCTATCAATAATAATAGGTCTTAAGACCTAGTGATTTAGTGTGCTTTTCTAAGTTAGACCATTGAATGTGACTATTAAACATAAGGGGGCACTTCAAAAAAGTTCACTGAAAATGGAATTAAAGCTAGTATATAAAGGCAGTATCCCAAGACTAGTCTAGCCCTGCTATTTTTGTCCAAAATGTACAACCAGTGTCTTAACCCTGACTTTCAGGGGAAGGCCCTTTACTGTCTTTAGTTGTTAGTTTTCACTCCCCCCAGTGGTAAGCACCACATCACTCACGTGTTTCCTGAATAGTAGTTTTCCCCATTGAGGCTATTCTGGAAGTGATGTCTTAGAACGGTTTTTTACTTCTAAGTGTGTGTATTGGAAAGCTGGAAATGGTTATGATAAGACCAATCAAATGACTAAGTAATGACCTAAAGGCTTATTTTATACTAGGTGGCAATTTTGGAGGTAGCCCTGGTTATGGAGGAGGAAGAGGGGGCTATGGTGGTGGAGGACCTGGATACGGCAGCCAGGGTGGAGGCTACGGAGGTGGTTATGACAACTACGGAGGAGGTAATGGACTTGCCTACAGCCTTTATGTGGGAATTTGGATTTTAACCTCATTTCAATGTTGTCAGTTTTAAAAATGTAGTTCGATTGGTGTTTTGCTTTGTTTTGATGTTTCTGTAAGGGCTTTGTCCTAAACATTGAGCATGTGTCAGTGGTTTCATGTTGTTTTCTGCAGCCCAGCTATGTCAGTATTCCAATTTTTTTTAACAGGGAATTATGGAAGTGGAAATTACAATGATTTTGGAAATTATAATCAGCAACCTTCTAACTATGGCCCAATGAAGAGTGGAAACTTTGGTGGTAGCAGAAACATGGGGGGACCATATGGTGGAGGTAATTTACAACTAAAAATTGAGGCTTAGATTTCCATTGTGATAAACCAGTGTGCTTAAGACAACTCAATTATTTTGGCTTATATTTGAGTAATGTTCCCACATACAAATTAAAACATCAGCTTAGGGATTCTAGCAGTGGGGACACAATGTTAAGTATGTTGTTGCCAAGCAATATATAGGTTTGCATATGAGTGAGAATCATAGCATTGTGCTAGCTAGTCTAGGGAAATCAAACTAAGTTTGCATTCTCTTGCTGTTTGCTATTCTAGGAAACTATGGTCCAGGAGGCAGTGGAGGAAGTGGGGGTTATGGTGGGAGGAGCCGATATTGAGCTGCGTCTGTTTATCATGGGTAAGTAGCTTTTTGAGTTTTACAGTTGTTATTGTCTTGGGAGACCTAGCTGCAGGAGTAAAAGCTTTGTAGGATCATGTTATCTTTCCTTAAAATCTGGTTAGATGGATAATTTCATAACCTATTTTTTTTTTACTCTTTACTTCTGTTGAAACAGGCTTCACTGTATAAATAGGAGAGGATGAGAGCCCAGAGGTAACAGAACAGCTTCAGGTTATCGAAATAACAAATGTTAAGGAAACTCTAATCTCAGTCATGCATAAATATGCAGTGATATGACAGAAGACACCAGAGCAGATGCAGAGAGCCATTTTGTGAATGGATTGGATTATTTAATAACATTACCTTATTGTGGAGGAAGGATTGTAAAAAAAATGCCTTTGAGACAGTTTCTTAGCTTTTTAATTGTTGTTTCTTTCTAGTGGTCTTTGTAAGAGTGTAGAAGCATTCCTTCTTTGATAATGTTAAATTTGTAAGTTTCAGGTGATATGTGAAACCTTTTTTATTAAGATTTTTCTCAAAGTTTTGAAAAGCTATTAGCCAGGATCATGGTGTAATAAGAAGTAACGTTTTTCCTTTAAAAAAAAATTTAAGTGCGTGTGTAGAGTTAAGAAGCTGTTGTACATTTATGATTTAATAAAATAAATTCTAAAGGAAATTGTGTAATTATAGACTTTTTATTTTAAATAAGTTAAGGAGGGGGTAGTGTAATTAAGGTCCATTGCAAAGCTGTTGTTATGTTTGTGTAAGGAAAATGCTGGTCAGATGTAAGTGTGTTGTCTGCAATTCATCAGGATTAAATTATCTAGATAACATAAGGGCTGTCTCTGCAAGGAGAAACACCTTTTTAGATCTTTTAGATGCTGCTTCTTCAATGCAAGGAAAGGAAATAACCCAGCGAGGTACTCTTCAGGGACACAGGTCTAGTACAAGAGAACTCTTGACGCCTACTAAGTTCAGCCAGTCTTAAAAAACTGTGCTGTTTCTACAAAGCTTAACAACAGTAGTTTCTAAGGATGCCAACGAGAGCTGAGGGTGTAGAGCAAGATAGTTCTAAGCTTCAGTTAACCTTCTGTAGGTAAGACCTTATTGACTTTTCCTTTCTTAATTTTCTTCCCTAAAAGATAAACTAATACTCTTCAATGGTCTTTCAGTATAGTGGTTCTTATGTAGTTTAACATAGCTATAAATTGAGTTTAACAATTTATAAACTCAACTTGAGAGTAATTTTTTATGAACCCTGTTTTCCAATCTGTCATTTACTTAAATTATTTTGGTTGTTTTCCCTTTTTTTTTCCTTCTTTCCCATCCCCTCTCCCTCCATGAAGATTCAGGTGCTTAACATATCATTTTTTTCCCTGCTGGAATTTTAGCATTGCTATGAACCATGGACAAGTATATTCTGCTGCCACAAAGACTCTAAAGTGCTTCATTTCAACAGCTGAGGCAAGCCAAGTGATCATTAATAAAGCTTTTCTTGGTTCCTTCAGTGGTGTTGGTAGTAAAATGGTAGGTAAAAGTTAGGCTGCAAGTTCAATAAAATCATGAGATTTCCCTTCATTACACCCTTCTGTATTCACATTTCTTGGATCAAGCATTATAAAAGAATTAGGGTTTTTTTATTATTATTAAAATAAAGGCATTTTTCTTCCTGTAACTTTATGGTTCTAGCTTTATTACATGCATGTCAGGATGAGGCTCAAAGAGAAGGTAGGGTGAATGGTTGCGTTTGTTTCCAGATGCTAGTGTTAGACATATGCACAAATGTCTGCGTAGTGTTAGATCTTTCCAGCACAAGGTTAGTTGGGTTCAAATGTAACTTCCCCAGTGTCCTGCCCTAGGAATGATGGTTGCCTGCTAAAATTCATGTCTTATACTGCTCATCAGAGCTTGCTTCCTGGCTTTATTGCCTTTCCAGGGATGTAATATTCAGAGCCTATTCCGTATGCACCAGTGAGGCTTCTTTGATCCTAAGACCACTGAAGTTATTTAGGTTCTTTGGACAAACATGATAAACTTCTTCAGATACTTTTTTTTTCCTTTGGCAGGAAGGTGTCTTGCTGCAGGTAACTAATGAAGAAGTGGTCAACCACAGAATCTTCAAGAACTAAGAAATTCTGTACCATCTGAAAGTAGTTCTTGTTGGTGCCTTCGTTTAAGAAGCACTCTTTAAGATGAAAGGGAAATGTTTTTTGATAAAACAGAAACTTCATCTAGTACAGGTTCTTCATTTTAAAATACAAATGAATGGTGTTTGTAAAACATTCTCAAATTAGCCAGAGATAAATGTATCATGTTTTAAATTAGGTTTTGTGAGTAGAGAGATGAAAGTTCTATTTTAAATACAAAGTTTATAAAATAAATAACTTTTGTACCTAAAAACCTGGTGTAATGTTTACACATAAAATGTGTGAATCTTGTTCTATAAACGTTTAGTTGTCCAAAAGATCACCATTCCCTAAATTCTTAAAGCACTTAAAACTATGCATATTTCCATTTTTTTTCTTCAATATTAGTAGACATTTCAGAAAAGCATTGTGGGCATTATTGGCTGTCCCTAATAAAATGCTGTTTATGCACTGTATATATCAGCGTGTGAATACGGCGACAGTTTTCTGGCTCTCAAAGTTAATGGTGGTGTGTTGGAACCCAAGGTTTCAAAGTGCTCCATATTAACTGATAATGAGATCACATAGATGGTGAAATGTCTATTTCTTTTCTGCTTTGCTTACTAAATGTCTGTGGTTCAGGTAAAGTTACTGGGACACATTTACCCAACAATGGCATGTTTTTGCTATGTATTCAATTTTTGAATCGATTATACCACAGGTAAGTGACAGTTCTGATGGCTAGCATTATGTGTGGTCTTCTACTTTTCCATAATATATAAACTTGTTGAAATAGTTAACGTGTGGCTGCAAATGCACTAGAAAACTGATCTTGGAAGTTTTGAAGAAGTTGGACTCTACCAAGAGGATGGACTTTGAAACAATTGGTGTAATACATAACCTCCAAATAGTAAGGTCCAAGGTCAGAGAAAGTAGGTAAATAGGAGATAATAAGGTGATGCATGGTAGATGGGAATAAACCAGGCTATGAAGATGAAGATTCAGTAAAACGGGTTCTCCTGAATATTTGATGACCTAGCTCCTTTTCCTGTATGTGTGTTATATGAACTATTTCTTTTTTAGGTTTAAGAATTGAGATAGTCTTGGTACTCAGACTGTTCAGTTTTTGCCTCAGTAAAGCCCATACTACAGAATAAAGTTGCATTGATACATGGCGATCTGGTTTCTGGCTTGTAAATGTCAGTGCAGTTGAATATTAACAGTGCAGATCGTGCCATTGTACACACTGTTGGTCAAGCAGTAGGGTGGTCGGGCTGTGTATAAAGAGGTTGGTCCTCAGGAACCGTATTAACCTGGCTCACAGTAATGCTTATACATGCTGCAGTTAAATGATTTTCATGGTGTGTGTAAGATTTCAGTAATTTAGCATGCATCAGTACAAATGAGTTTTTCCTTAAAAATGTCATAGAAGCTCAAATGGGAAGTTCTGAAGGAGTAACATCTTTGTTTTTAACTCTTCGCTTATTCTGGCTTGCCACGACTCAACATAGTGAGAGTTGACTAGCTTCACTTTGTTTGCATCCCTTAAATGGTGTTTGGGTGTTGACAGGTTCAGAATGGGCAGCAGGAAGATTGAACTGCAGAAATGGCTCTTGTGCTTGGCAAGTTGTTGCTCCTGAGTCCTTTCTAAATGTGCACAGTTACTTTTTTGAGTCTTGGAAACATGACCAAGACTTGAGGTTCAGGTGCTTTGCTGGACTGTTATCTAGAGCCATTTCCCAGATTCAACTTGAAAATTCTAGAAATTGATTCAGGTTGGAAATGCTAACATTGCAAAATGTGGTTTGACCGCCTACTTCCTATATTGTAAGTCAGTGTGATCGGAATAACATCTAACATTGGTAGCTTGGAGTCCGGTATGGTCTTAATCTCAGTTGTCTGATTTGATGAGACCCACCCTAAAGGCTAGCCTAGGCTGTTGGCTCTTGCCAGGGGGCTTTGTAACCACTGGGTGGGTATTAGTTACTTGAACCAATGGAATTGAATGTTCCAAAGTTTTCTATAGCATTCTGTGTGGACTGAATGGAGTTGATGTACATAAAAATGTTAAGGACTTAAATAGTCCTGAATATGGACATAGCAGGGAAGGAGGGAGCAAGTTAGGTGTGTTAAAAAGAAATTTTGGTTAAAATGGGTTTGTTTTCACAGAAAAAGTCATAAGAAAACTGCATTTTAACATAAAACTTTGAATAATTGATGTGTCCGTCATTTCTTACAAAGCTGCCAATAGTGAATGTCCAGTTTGTGTGTGAATTCTGTTCAGTGCAGGCAGTGGGAAGGTGTCTTGTGGAAGTTGTAGTTTCCCCTGAAGCTTTCAAATAAACATAGGCTGGGTGTCACGCAGCAAGTCACAAGCAGGGACCAAGCTTGAGATCACTTTCAGTCTGAGTTTTAACTGTGTGCCTTCACATTATCCAGTTCATCTTGAAGCTTTTTCACTTTTTCTTTTTCCCCTCTTGAGAGTCCTTTTTGTGGCCTGAGGCTACCAGGTCTCTGGGTACAATCAAAATGCTTCCATCGCGGCTGCACTGAAGAACATACTGGTTTGGATTCACTGGCCTACCCTGATCATCTCTCAGCCTGTTGAAAACATCACGATAAACGTCACACAGTTTCTGCTTCATCACATTAATAGCTTTGTTAAATTGGGCTTGCTCACTTTTAAGAATTTCCTTCTTGGTTTGTAAGTTATATACGTCATCCTCTAAGTTGCAGATTATGTCTAATTTGCGCTTCCGACAGTTCTGAGCAGCAACTTTATTTTTCCCTCTTCGTCTGATGTCACGGATGAGTGAGACTTGTAAGTCGGTCAGATAGTACCTACTTAACATGCTGTTGAAGGAATCGATGGGCGTGCGGACAATTTCATCTACAGTAAAGGGGATGTGCAGGGCTTTGGCACACCGCTCATCGCGGCTCAAGTTGGTGTCTGTGTCAAGGCACGCACTTGTTCTCTGTGATGTCCCCAAAGTGGATTCTGGTGCATATGGCTGTAAGTGGTAAGTATGGTTGTGGAATACATTTTGAAATGTAAGATCCTGGTGAAAACTGCTACGATTTGCTGTGTGGCAAAATTGACTAAGTTCTAAGGAATATCCTCCCACAGCCCCTTCTAACTGATGATGGGAAAGCGAGTCCAGCTCGCCATTACTACCTGTAGCACCTTCATGAATGAAGTGGGAATTACTTGACTTTGAGACAGGGGTACCATAGTGGTTTGCATTTAAGGAGAGGCCAGAATCAGAAGCTGGTTCTTCAAAAAGCTGAGAAATTTCTCCTGGATCAAAGTCTTCCTGGGTGGCCAGTGACAGTAAGCTTATCTCCTCAAACATGTTTGTATCAAGGTCACATAGTAGGTCTGGACTTGTGAGAACCGGTATATGATTGTCAGGTGGAGGCCTCATGAGATCAGCTCCAGGGAACGTTGGCTCAGGATTAAGCTGCAGAAATGGTTCTTGCACCTGGAAAGTTGTTGCTGCAGGGTCACTTCTGAATGTGCTGTTGGGACGCAGCACCATGGCCTCCTGAAGATTGACATCGTGACTTAGAGCCTGGCTGAAATCAGTCGGCTGAGGTGCTGAGCAGTCTATGCCATCAGTGACATTGCTCGGAAAGGGCAAAATCTCCCCAAATGAGAGGCCCAGACCCTGAAAAACAAGGGGAAGAGTTGTCCTTAATATGTGTGACCCTCTTGGAAAGGCAATTCCCAAACCTAGCGCACTGCATTTGCTATTCTATACTAATGGGGTAATTCTCCCATTGAAACAGGTGATGCAACTTTGAATAGCTCAAAAATTGGGGCACTTGAATGCCAACAGGAAACATAAATGCTGTCAGTACCAGCTTACATTTTCACATGGGTCAGTGCAGCTGTGTTGAAAGGATAAAAGGTAGATGGCAAGCTCCAGTTACCTCCAGTGAGAACTCGGGCTGTGAGGGAAGCAACTGAACGAAGTCCTCCAGAGAGAAAGGTGTTTCCGTTCCGTGTAGCTGTATCTAGGGAAACAAACGGTGCACATCACTGCTCAGCTAAAACACCTGCCTCCTAATTTTGTACATGTCTCACTGTGGCTGGCCCATCAAACATCTCAGAACTGAGGGAAACCACTTAAGCCTGAGTGGGTGAGGGATTCCTATGTGATTGAGGGTCTGAGGAACCAACATCCTGCTCTCGAGCTCCTGTGTGGCTCCACTTGGCCCCAGCCTGAGCCAGAACTGCCTGCAGGTGCCTCGCTAAGCAGGCCCATTTATAAAACCCATCATCTCACCATCCTTGCTGTTGACAGAACCAGCAAGATCTGCTAATAGAGTCCACAGATAGCAAAGGCCTCGGGATTGATGGTGTGTGCTGATACCACTGAGCAGACATCACAGATGGGGTGCTCCAGCTTACCGCGTTCCTGCCTCCCGGCCAGGCTTATCTACTGCTATGCTGCCACGTGCAGTACTCCGCAGTGCCCTCAGGCTGAGGCCCTTGGCTGTCTTGCCTCGTGCTGGGAGCCGGGACCCGGGACCCATGGCTTCAGCCTCCTCTCTTGGCATGCCATTCTATAAAAAATTGTGTTTCATATTTTTAAAGCCAAGTTAGACTGTAAGGCTGAAGTTTCTTCAGATGTTTAATTCTGAGACATTTAACTATGTCCTAAGTACTCTGATTCGTAATCCACATAGCTTAAGTAAGTATGCCATCTAAGCACCAGCATGTCATACAGACTGCTGGTTCCAGTCCCAGGTGCTCCACTTCCAGACCTGCTAATGTCCTGGGAAAGCAGAAGATGGCCCAAGTGCCTGGGCCCCTGCACTCACGTGGGAGACCCAGATGAAGTACCTGGCTCCTGACTTCAGCCCGTCCCAGGACAGGCCATCTAGGGAGTAAAACAGTACATACAGTATCTGTCTCTTTCCTTGTAACTTTTAAAGGCTTATTTATTTGAAAGTCAGAATATCTTCCACCACTTGGTACACTCACCAGATGGCTGCAACAACCTGGGCTGGGCCATGTTGAAACCCAGCAGATTCTTCCAGGTCTCCCACATGAGTAGCTGGGGTCCAAACACTTGGGTCATCTTCCAGGGCTTTTCCTGCTTTTAGCAAGAAGTTGGACTGGAAATGGAGCAGCTGGAATTCAAAGCAGAGCCTGTAAGGGATGCCGGCATAGCGGGTGGCAGCTTAACTTGCTAAACCTTTGTGATTCTTTAAAACAGAAAGTGTGAAGACACTGCCAGGAGGTTGTGCAAGAGAAGGGCACAAAGCAACACTGGTGGCCTTGGGATAATTGTGTATTTGAGAGTGTAGGGAAGAAAGCCAAGTGATACTGTGTTAACGAAGCCAACAGGAGTTGACAAGCTGGACTGACTGTGGGGAGAGGGAGGAGCATAGCTGTGGGTCAAACAGTACTCTGAGATGCTGGGGTGTTTGTAAGGGAATTATCTGGGGAGGAGCTAGCTGCAAAGCCAGGTCCTACCCCGGCCCACAGTCCGCACTGCCAAGGGCTAACTGAATTTCTTTATTCTATTTTTAATTTTATGGTATAGTTCTATAGGCTCTAGGATTTCTCTTACTCCCTCCCCAAATCTCCTTCTCCCAATTGATTTCCCCCATATTATTACATTAGTGTAGTCCTTCATAAGCAGTCATAAGTCCATCATTCTGCTATTTAAGTGTAGGCAGATTGATTTTATAAGAAGGAAAATAAACTTAATCCCATGCCCCTGTGAACTTTGTCAAGTGCCCATATGTGTTCTTTTGGGTCATGGTAGAAGAGTAGGGTCGGTGCTGTGGTATTTGCAAGTTAAGCCTCTGCCTATGGCACCAGCATCCCACATAGGCACCAGCTTTAGCATGGCAGCTCCACTTCTGATACAGACCCCCGCTAATGGCCTATTAAAGCTTGAGCCCTTGGGATCTATGTGGGAGACATGGAAGAAGTGCCTTGCTTCAGACCAGCCCAACTCCGGCCATTGCTGCCATCTGGGGAGTGAACTAAATCTGTCCTTTCTGTAACTCTGCCTTGCAAATAAACATAAATAGAAGAGTGGAGACACCCTTCAGGAAATAAAACAGAATCTCATTATTACCAAGCCCTGAAATATATTCTTCTGAATACATGGTGATTCATTTGTTCCTATTTTTGAAGATTATTTCTCAAAAGTAAAATAGCCTGGTGCAGTAGCCTAGCAGCTGAAGTCCTCACCTTACATACACCAGGATCTCATATGGGTGCCGGTTCGTGTCCCAGCAGCCCTGCTTCCCCATCCAGCTCCCTGCTTGTGGCCTGGGAAAGCAGTCGACGGCAGCCCAAAGCCTTGGGACCCTGCACCTGAGTGGGAGATCCGGAAAAAGCTCCAGGCTTCTGGCTCCGGATCGGCTCAGCTCCGGCCATTGCAGCCGCCTGGGGAGTGGACCAGTGGAGGAGAAATCTTCCTGTCTATTCTCTCTGTGTATCTGACTTTCCAATAAAAATAAATAAATCTTAAAAAAAAAGAAAAAAGGTAAAATAGAGACTGGTGGAGTGTGTTACGCTGAGCAGCACACCAGCTCCCCCTCTTGGGATCCAGTTCTCTGCTGATGCATTGGGAAGGCAGAAAGAGGATGGCCCAAGTGCTTGGGCCCCTGCAGACTTCAAGGGAGACCCAAAGGGAGCCCCAGGCTCCTGGCTACAACCTGGCCCTTAGGCTGATGTGACCATTTGGGGAAGTGAGCTAGCTGATGGAGGATCTCTGTGGCCTCCACCTTTTAACTAAGCAAACAACTCTTTAAGAAAGAAAGAAATGGACATTGCTTAAAAAAAAAAAATCAAGTTTAAGCCCCCTGCCCTTGAGTGAGGGCAGGCTTGGTGTGAACTCTAATGTGTATGGTAGAAATGAAGAACCCCACCTTCCCCCATGCTTCCTGCTGCCTTCTTACTCCAGTCGTGCTGTCTCAGGGGAAGGGCTTCCAAGCAGGTCTGTGGGCACGGCCCCTGCCAACAGACAGGTGGTTGTATTGAGGGCCTGGGCAAGAAATCCCCCAGCTCAGCCACTCCAGAATTTGCTGCTCCCAGATAGCTTAGGGTAGGAAAAGTTTTCAAGAATTAATCCATTAAGACTGGGAAAACTTGTGACAAGCAATGGCTAACTCTCCAAGTGCTACCAAATGCTCTTGGCATTTCTACTCTTGAGTGTCCATCTTTTATTGACTGTCTTGCATGACCACTCCTGAGTAGGTTGTGGTTTTCCATGTTTTTGCTTTAGATTTTGCTGTCACGGTCACACTGGCTTTGGACTCCTGAGTCTTGCAAAGTTGAAAGAATTCACCTTGAATTCTGTTGCACAGGGAATGCTGTTCTATTCTGACCACCTTTTCATCCCTTTCTCACAGTGCGCAAACATCTCCAAAAAAAAAAAATTATTCCATTTGACATCCTCAGTTGCATTTGGGTGTCTGCATTGCCTCACCCCACCTGCCCCACATTCCAGTCTTCTCTCGATTGATTGCTATTTGAGAGGGAGACAACAGGAAGGGAGGGAGAGAAAGAGAGTGAGAGAGAAAGAGAACTTGCTTTCCATCAATGGGTTCACTCTGCAGTACCCAGAGCTGTGTCTGGCAGGAGCTGAGAGCTGGAAAGAGTCTGGGACTCCCACCTGCGTGGCTGACAGAGACCTGGCCATCTGAGCCATCGCCTGCTGCCTCTGGAAACCTGTGTCACCAGGAAGCCATAATTGGATCCAGGACTTGACCATGACTTGACTCTAACATGGAATGTGGGTGTTCCAACCTGAGTCTTTATATAGATGGAGAGATTTGCTGAAAGGCAGAGTTATACAGAGGGAGAGATCTTTCATCCGTTGGTTCACTCCCCAAATAGTCACAACAGCTACGTCTGGGCCAGGAGCCAGGAACTCCATCCAAGTGTCCCATATGAGAGGCAGGGGCCCAGACACTTGTACCATCTTCTGCTGCCTTCTCAGGTATATCAGAAGGGAGCTGGATTGGAAGTGGAACAGCCGGGACTTGAACTAATGACCCATATGGAAATGGCGGCACTGCAGGTGCATGATGCCACAAAGGCAGCCCCATTCCACCAATCCCAGAGTTAACTGCTAGGCCAAATGCCAATCCTCCTTCCTTTGTAGATGGTGGCTAAAGGCTTCTGTGAACTTGTGTGTGTAACCATGAAGATGGCAGGGGCAGCTCTAGTGGCCTGCATCCTCTAATAGATGACACTAAAGGAGCCAGGGAGAGACGACAGTCACAGCTGGAGGAATTTTCACTCTGCTTTGTCTTTGGCCAGGTGGAGAGAGTCAGGAAGGAGTCACTTTGCAGCGACACTCACGATCCATGAGGAACTGGCTATAGATTTGACTGCAAACCCAGTTTACTTTTGAGAATGTTATGAACAGTCAGACGGAAGCAGGCATTTGTAGTCTAGCCTCCCTAAAAAGATGTCCACATCTCACATGGGTGAGATGTCCAACTCCAGCTTCCTGCTAGTACACACCCTTGGACACAGCAGGTGATGGCTGGAATCCCTGAGCCCTGCCACCCATGTAAAACACATGGATTGAGTTTCCAGCTCCTGGCTTTGGCCCCAGCCCACTCCAGTCATTGCAGGTGTTTGGGGGAGTGAACTAGCAGTTGGGAGCACACTGTCACATTCTCTCAACTCAAGCATCACCCAGGCCTGTCCTACCCACATGACCATCGTTATGTCTGAAGCCACAGAGACAAGATGAGTCCCGTGCTATCCGGGATCTTGACAGCAGACTGACACATGGTGACTAAATTCCAGACGTAGAATAGAAAAATCTGTTAACCTGTACAGCCGGTGGTATTTCATCATCCTATTAGCTAAGCCTTTGCATATTCACTCTCCTCTCTTTTACTGATAGGAGACCCATATCGTAAGCAACAAAGCTTAAGCAGAATGTCCCCAGGGAGCAGTGTGATGTGGCAAGAAGCCAGGGAGTCAGCCTCCAGCAGCCAAGCGCCACCCACCCAAGGTTATGCCTATCCCA